CTATTGAAACCACCTCCTCCCTCTAGAAGGAAGCTGCTTCTGTTTTGTTTTTCTAAAGACCATTTGCAAACAAATGCAAACTTCAGCTGAGATCTCAAAAGTTAGTAGATGCTAGAAATCTAACTCTGTGAGACCTTTTTGCACATCCCATCTTTATGTCTTCATAAACAAAATCTGTAGAGAAATCATCATTCAGATAAAGAACCATGCAAATTACCATAAATTTCTACCTTTTCATTAGATCAGGATGTTTTCATCCACCTCCCCAACCACAAACCATTTGGGGAGCATTGCACTGCCTCGTGCAGTGGTATTGCCAGCTTCAGATGGGAAAGACAAAGAGGACAACGGGAGCTTCCATGAATGGAAAACATTTTTAGAAAGGTGGAGAGAAAAAAAAAGCATTTATTAAACAAGAAAGAAGTCCTATATAAAGGAAGGAAAAGTTTTGAGAAAAGAAAACCAATAGAAGTAAGAATAGAATGGAGGGGAGGTAGGAGGAAAAAAAATATACTTAAGAAGAGAGAGGCCTTGGAAAAGACCGAAGGATACATGAAGTAAGGATGTACTAGACGAAATAGATTCAAGCTTAAGTTGACCATCCTTCAAAGAATAAAACATTTAGGAATAATGCACAGTTATGCTCCTGTTACGAAGGTAGAAGGATCAAGTTTCTCCAAATTGCAATACAACTCTCCCCAGATAAATAAGTTCTTCCCTCATTTAATAATGGCCTTCAAAATAATAGCTCTAGGGAGAAAAAAAAAAAAGCCTTTAAAAAAAGCAGTAAACAAAATGCCTATTACTTAAAAAGAAATTAAAGACATTGTTATATTATTCTTCTTTCATTGCTCTTCACCTGGAATTGCAATTTGCTGTTTCATTGCTCAGTCATGGCAGGCTGGAAAGACACTCACTTATATTTATATTTATTTTGCTTACGACTTGCACCTTTGCAGAAAGGGCCAAGAATAAGACTCATGTACCAGTTTTAAACTCCACAGAGTTTAAGAGGGATGCAGACTTTATAACAACCCTCTGCCAAGAAGTGGATTTCATGTTCTCCAAAATGTCATAAACAAGCTCAACTTCTCTTTGGGTTTTATCTAAGTGCTCATTTACTCTGGCTGGCAATGCCACCAGCTCACTGGGCTATGGAGACTCAGCACTGCTGCTGATGGAGGAAGTCATGAAAAATTCACTGGTAACATTTTGTGCTGAAAGCATGTGCTAATGCTAATTTGACTGTAGATAAAAGCATCAGGGGTGGAAGTGGTACCTCTCCAACTTAGTATTATGGCAATCACTGTGGCATTTGTCAACATGAGTCCAAGCACTTGGAAAGGAAAAAACCCTTTCCAAAGAGTTGCTGCTATAAATTTGTTATGCATCAATTTCTTTTATTAAGAACAACATAGCTAAACATATAGGAGTGAAAACGAATCTCTAACGAAAGCAATGGGGAAATTCCCACACATATTTCTTTACACATATCACACCAGGAATGAAAATGGTGTGGGGAGATTTCTTTAGACCATTTCCAGTTAGTCATAATGAAGACAAATCGCTGATGGGAAGACTGAAGTCAGTGATAGATATTCTATAGATGCTTGGGTGTAATGACGGATCCTTAAAGGAAATGAGAAGCAGGAGAGATGGTAACAGAAATAATGACACTATAAAGGAAAGGGTTGATGTTTTCCATTTAACAGACAAGAACTTAATTTCAGAAGTTTTGAAGAGTAAACACTATAATCTAGTAAATACAGGGGAAAATGTTTACAGTAGCATCTTATGCAGCATTGCTCATAATAAATATAGCTGTCATACAATAAATTATGCTGGCTTTAGCTGGGAAATTCTGAAAGGCCAATTTTGTACATGACAGGATGCTCAATTTTCTAGCTTCAATTTTAATCTAGTAGTAGGGGTAATTTATTTTTTAAACACTAAAACTGTGAAAACATTCTGCAATTTTTGTTCGTGGTTTGTTTCCTGATTTTGTTGTTTTGGGGGGTTTTATGGTTCGGGAGGTTCAAAGAAATACACTTTAACAAAAAAAAAAAAAAAAAAAGAAAAGCTAGAATTTTAAGTCAACTTTTTTTAAAAAAGTGCATTGTTAAAACAGCTTCGAAAACTTAATATGGCATATAGTGTTTTCCAGGCTGAAAACTCAGAAAAAGAATTAAAAGAGTGTTGGCTATGGCAGGCTCCAGAAGATGGCAATGTCTTACCTTCTCTAACTGCTCCATGCACGCGTTGTGGACCACGATCTTGCAGGCAGCACACTTCCTCCGCAGAGCAGATTTCTGCAAGAGGAAAGGGAAACGTGTACACGGAGGTGCGGTATTCCCAGGAGAGGAAAAGAAAGTTAGCTGTGAAACAAGAGATGTTTCTCTCCTTATGCAACATACTTTTTTTTTTTTTTTTTTTTTTTTGCTCTCTCGGTGCTCTCAACTGTGCTGTGTACCGAAAAGTGAGGAAATCAATAAATAAATAGGTCTGAAGCTCTTCCAGTTAAAAACTGAACTTTGTGAAAAAGCCACAGTACTCCAGCTTGTGAACTAGAAGTAAAAGTTTTCCTTTGGGTAGCAGATCAGGTTGTTAACACTGCAGAGCATCACTATGAAGACGATGAGCAGAGCCAGTGAAAAGACGTGAAAAATTATACATATACATACAAATCAGAGAACTCCAATCAGTTCACAAGAGTAGGTCACTTCATGCTTATCATATTATATTTAATTTGATAGGCCTGGCCACTGACTTGAAGAAAAATATGTGGGTACTTGGGTCATTTAGCAGAGAATGATAAAATTCTCAGAGAATGTTGTTAAATGCTTATGATATGTTACAGCAGGGACAAAATTCTCAATTATGCTGGTTAGTTTTATTAATTTCAGTAGGGCTTTTAAAATAATTTCCATTGATTCTCCTGGGCCAAGGCATATCAAAGGCAAAAGAATGCATCCAGAAGAGAAAATATATTAACTTATTTTACTTCCACAAACTCAAATTAATTAACCAGATGGAATTAATTTTCATAGAAATTTAACTTACAGACTTGTGCTTTAGGGACAGAAGATTTATAAATACACAGTAAGTTGCGATTTATTCAGATTTTTATGTTCAATTTATTCATGTCCATTTAGATCTCTAATAAATTATTTCTTTAGAATTTTCAAATTATTTTAAATAAGCTCAAGAAGGAACAGGGAACACAGCTTCAGCTCACATTATGGAATAATTATAACAATTTCACTGATTCTCAAAGTTATCCAGATACACCCTAACTGTACGTGTTCACATGTATGTGGAGGGGTGTTATAACGTTTCACCTGAAGAACCATTACGTTGTATAGCAGGCTAAGCTTTCACATGTTTTGGGAATTGATAACTTCAAGTATGTTTTTTATCTCTGTGTTTACCAAGAAGACACAGCCTTGTAAATCATATGCAACATATTACTAAATTTCCACTCTACTTTCAATGAACTAAATCATAAGGAACTAGTTACTCGGTTTCAGAAAGGCAAACTTCTATTAAGAACATCAGAACCATCATGCCAAAGGTCCACTCAACCAAACAAATCCTGTCTCCAGCTTTCACCAAATCCTAGTGCCTCAGCACCAGTGAAAGCGCAGGGCAAACACACAGTGACATTTGCCTTGATTATCAACAATCAGCAGTTTGTTGGGACTTTGCCTCAGTATTCTGAAGGAGGCATAAACTTCTCAGGTTTGGCTTTCTCAGGTTTGGCCTTAGTGCTATATGCCATAAAGTAATCATTTCACTTGAGAAGTTTTAGGAGATGGATATTAAATTTGTGCTGTGGAAAGCACTGATATTTTGGATCAAAGTGCCCCAGAAACTAGCGGTGGTTAGTGAACCAAAATGCTTGGATTTGAATTAAATGCTCTGAAGTGTGGATTTTTTAAAACAAAAGCAAAAAGATGGTGGCTTCCTAAATACCAAAATAAAGGAGGTTGGGTTTTTGTCCTCTCTTTTGGTGAAGCAATTTAACTGAAACACTGAGGGAAGTGCCCCTGAAGGAGACTGGAAGTGTAACAGTGACTCACCAGTCAAAGGAGAGACACATGGGTTTGAGATCAATCCCATGAAACTTTTTCATGCACAGCAGAAAAGCTTCAACAGGAGATGGCTAATCTTGAATAGTCTTGAATAGGAGGAGGCAAACACTCAAATATGAGTTCACTCATTGCTGGTGAGTGCACTCAGGAGTTTGGAAAATTCAGTTCAAATCCTCGCAGTGATTAAAATCACAAAAATTTGATCAGACCGTACTCTCAGAGACTACAATAAGTGATATATTTGTGTACATGTTTGTGTAAAATAGACTGGTTGCTTTGAACATTTCTGAACATCTTGATATTCTAACTTTTTTTCCCTTACCATGTTAAGAAAGCTGCTCATTACATACACTCCCACTGTGCAAATAATCTGGGTCACTTAAATTTGTTTTGGGCTTTTTTCCCCAAGCAATGAAGTCTTTATAGCAGCCTTTTACCCCTTTGGTATTCCTCCTGGAACATAGGAAAACAATTCAAACTCCCAAGCAACTGAGCACTGCATCAATCTGAAGTCAGGTTTGTTACGTCAGAAAGAGAAAAAGAAATCTGAAAATAACTCACTGAGAATTTGACTTGGCAGCTTTCCTCCCCCAGGTAGCAGAGGTCCCCAGAAACATTTGTCTCTAGCCACAGATGCTCTCCATTCACAGCATTTTCCTGAGAAAAGATGATTGTTAATCTGTTTTGTGAAATTCAGCCAAGGGAGTATAGAGGGGAAAAGGAAAAAAAAAAAAAAAAAAAAAAGAAAAAAAGGTCTGATTTGCAACACAGATTTTGAAAACTAAAATAAACTAGAAAAAAAAAAATGAAAAACAATCACCACACCGTTAGGTGTTGTTTTGGTTTTCTACAACACAAAGCCATAGCACATCACAGTATTACCTGGCTGACCACCACTGCTTAAAGGATGCTGACGATACAATGATGTGTCACCAACTGAAACCAAAGTATTTTTGTGCACTGTTCAGTGAAACTTTACTGATATTCTTCCCACATGCTGCATAGTTTAACTGGTAATTTAGATTTCATAAGCATGAGATATACACAGAATTTTAAATAAACAGAAAATCAAGAGAAGTGAAACAAAAACACAGCTACTGAACTTTCAACTGGAGAGGCCCAAAACTTTGAGAACTGGGCCCAGGAGTGAGTGAAAAATAACATCCTGACCTACAGCTTTAGGGGGATGGAATACTTTGAGCAAGGGAAAATGCTTTCTTTAAAATGGCTGGATCAACACTATGTTTGTGAATACATCAACAAAACATTAAACCACCAGGAGAGACCAGATTTTATATGTGAAAGAACAATTCATTCAACTGAGAATACTCTCAAAAAAGAATCTAACTAGCATATTAACAATTAGGAGTGATCGACTGGGAAATATCTGACTTTGCGTTGACAGCCTCATTTGATCCAATTTGTACCTCAATTCTATAAAAATTCTTGTTCTAAGGAAATTTGGTTGTAGACAGACCATGGTTTTCACTTGACTGTAATCCTAGCATGACTAAAAAGCCTAAAAGTCTACTGTACACTACTTGAGTAAAGTGAATAAATAGGATTTCTGTTCAGCTAGAATTAGAGCATGATAGAAAACGCTTTGACAGTCTGACATTTGGTTCCCACACTGCAGAAGTCACAAATGATGACGCTTACCAAACAGATGGCGTCCGACAGCAGGATGCTCTGAAATAGCCATCTTGGATAAAATAATTTATTTAAAATACCACTGACAATTTCAAAGTGATAAAATGAGAAAACTTCTCTTGCCATGTGCATTTCTTAGGTAATGGAGAAAAGCAGAAGTGGAAAAATCCTTTGTTCTCTGGAGTATGAGAGCATCCACAATAGCCAGGACCTATGCAAGTCTGGACAGGGTTCTACCACAGCTGTGATTTCACTTCAAATAAACTAAGAGGACAAGACCAACATTGGTTTCTATTCCTAATGAGAGGTCTATCTGTTTGCAGCTCTTCTAACTTCATCAGAAATAATCCCATTGGTGTCAGACTCAGTATTATCCCTCAGCACAAGGGCCCAGGTGAGAGTGAGACTGGGATTCCAGTCTACTGCCATAGCACCCTGATTAATCTTCATTTGATGGCACAGTGTTCTATACCTCCATTTCTTCTCATCCTTTTGTCTGCCTATCCATTTAAACTGTAGACCCCCTGGGACAGAGAGCCTCCTAAACTGTACAGGTGAGAGCACAATAGTTTAGGTGGGACTTTTCAACACTATGATGCAAAATATCTTCTAAGAACTTGTACTAGGTTAAAAAATTCTTCAAGCCTTTCTTAGAGGGCAAATTACTCAGACTGTGAGCACTTTCGCTCATGTTTATCCTTGTATTACAGCTATTTTCTCTGCCAAGAGCTATCTTGGATTTACAGCACACCGTGGAGGTCTAATCACACACTGATAAAATTACTATGCCCACAGTATTGCCCAACATATTAACATCCTCTCTAGCTCCTGAGGAGTGAGACAAGAGGACCAAGGCAGCAGGATATGAGCTCATCAAAGAGTGCTTGACCTGAGCATGTTCTCTGCTGACAGAACAGTGTAAAACATTAAAACTCAGAGGTAAATTTTGTAGATTATAGAAGACGTTTAGGAAAGATCAGCTCCGAAAGCTAAGTGAGAAAGCACACAGCTCCTGGAACATAATTTTAAATGAGGAATTAAAAATACTTTAAAAACATGAAACACCCCTTCATTGGGACAACATCCACATAATTTGCCATCAGGATTTCTAAAGATGAAGTGGCCTATTTCCATAACCTAGTTTAGACTGATTGAGGTTGTTTTCTATTGTTCCAGACTGTATCATAGATTTACATGTCAAACTTTACATCACCGTGTAAATAAAATTAGGAAGTAGTCTACAAGGATGAACTTTGTAGTTCATGCTATGATAGAGTTCTGACATTACTAGGTAACAAAAATATAAATAACCTTACCTGGTATAAGGGACATACCTCCAGATACCTACTGACACAGCACCGTGTGTAAAAACTCACAATTTCAATTCCAGCAAACTGACATTGGACAAATCTTTTAAAGTGAATCAGAGCAAAAGCTGAGACTTCCCAAGATAAAATGCCCTCCCTCAAAAATCTTTTCCTATCTATTAATTTATCTCCATAAGATCAAAGGGAATTATTTGAGCTTTGCTGTTTTAAATTTTACAGGGCTCTGTCATTTATACGATGAGACATTCTGTTGCCACATATGAAAGTCAAGATGATATAGTCAAAGGAAAATGCTTTGACCTTTTCTAAACCAAATTTTTCATTCAATTCTGACAATTTTTTAAAAAAATCAATACATTTCTATGAAGAACTTTGACTTCAACAAAACAGTATTTTCTGCTGCAAAATTTACAGGCAGTATTCCACAACATGATGGACAAAAGGGTACTCTTCTCCATTGACCAACACATAAGCTGACAGGGGTCCCTGGGATTGCTTCTAGTATGATCTCCTGTTTAACACAAAGCTAAACAACAGTTAAGTCATCACTTGTATATTATGAGCTAGACTTTTTTTTTTTCCATAAAAAATTTGCCAGTTTGGTTTATTTTTTACTTGATGTGTCTATGTTGGCTTTAGGAGTTAACGGCTTCTGAAGAGGCAGTCGTTCTCTTTCTGTCCCTGAACCCACAACCTCAGTCTCATGCTCTTGCCATTTTATTCATGCCAAATCTGGTGGCTGTAAAGCTACACATAGAATCAGTTCAGCTGATGGAAAGAAACAGATACCTTATCTACCAAATCAGCTAGACAAAATTACCCACCCTGTGACCACATTGCTGCATCTGACACAAGGAGGGGTGGGTTAAAGATGGGTTCAGTGGAACTGATGCTTTTGGTACAGGCTCAGTGTTAGGGCAGCTTAGCTGACCTGTCAAATCATGCTTTCAGGCTGACGTGTTTTGCTTTGACTTGCTATGTGGAAATGGATTTTTTCCATCATTGTGGATAAAACAGAAATGACTGTGGCCTAATATTCTGGTGTTAAAAAGAAAAGTGGGAACTCTCTTTCCTCGCCTGGATTCCCAGCCTTCACAAGTGTGTGAACTCAGTGCCCTGGGAAGAAAAAGAGCCCCTGCTCACTGAAGCGGAGACAGCAGTGCTTTCCTGGCAGATGCAGCCTGCCTCACAGGGGACACACGAACTCAATATGCTCCCCCAGATGGAGACCTCTCATTTGATTGCTCCTGATCTGTTACCACCTTAATAGCAAACAAAAATAGTTTCAGTACAGCAAAGATTGCTTGCATATGAAACAACACCCACCCACAATCCCCCGTGAAGTGGAAATAAGAATTCAGGGACTAGGAGTTTTGGGAACGATGTAATTACGTGCACGTGTTCATAACTTGCTGTGCACATTTCACTAATTCAGCTGGGTTTCTCCAAGTGCTCCAGCACAGTTAAATGACAGAGCATGAGTTACCATTTTTCTAAAGCCCTCAAGTATCTCCATACCTTACTGCTCTTCAGGCTGCAGTCAGCATGGTTTCAAAACCACTGCAGATAGACCTGACTGCTGTAATTTGCCATGTCAAGCAGCTATAGCTATTCAGACAAACAAATAAACCAGCCAGCCCAAACTTCTAGTTCAAAAGAGTCATAACTCCAATTGTAACAGGAAGAATGGAGCTCTCCTCCACTCCTGCCAGGACTGATGTTCTACAAAATATTATATGACAGATTTCTAAAATAAGCCATTAAAGAAATTTTCCCTTTGCTAACACTCCAGCAAGGGAGATGAATCTTCTTGGAAATAAGCATTTGAGTGATACTTATGATTAGTATAAAAGTAGTGCTCGTCAATCTAAACTTAATTAAACATATTTGTAAGCAAAAATTATTAGCTTTAGCCCTTTTCTTTCTATTTCTAGATGACTACTGAGCAGAAACAAGTTTGTTTGGATGTGTTTTCCCCAAATGTCTTTCTGTCATGTTTGGCTTGTGTTTCAACCTTAACTCTGAAATTCCAGACTCTGTAATAACTCGTATTACAAAGAGCAAAAATTTCTCAAATGTTTTTCTGTCAATATATATTCTCAATTTTAACTCCACCTTAACAAATTTTTATTTGGCTATATTTTTCATATAGAAGTCACCTATTCTTTAATTGTTACAAATTTAATACATGGACATAGAATAAAATAAAACAGCACAGACTTATGGTATTACAATGTTACTTAAAAAAAAACATAAAAATATGTAGGCTGCAACTTTCAGAATTTTTGGGGGTTCAGTTTCTAGGTCTTGGTTCACCACATTCTCTTCCTTCTTCTGCCATTCTCCCTTCCCTCACCAACACCTCTCCATGAATTGCCCTGTATTCTCTTCTGAGCTTTTGAGATCCTCACAACCATCATCCGAGAGATCATCTGTATACAGAAGAAGAATAACAACATTTGTCTTCATGGAGGAACAATGTCCAGGTGCTATCAACTGAGATGATGATTCCCTATGTTCTCATGAACCATTATTTTGTCTGATAACAGCTTCCCTTCAACAATGGAAAAAACACTTATTTTCAGGTAGGGCACCTTCTGCAATATTACTGCGTCCTCAAAACCACTGGAAAAATAAAAAGCTATGGTCACCATTTTGAAATATGACAGACCTTTTTTTTCTGTTTAGATCTCTCTGGAAAGAATATTCTCAAATCCTCATGAAAAATAAAAGGCAAAGCAGAACTACTTATGACATGCACAGTGCGTGTCATCCACACAAAAAAATTCAGCCATTTTTAAGTATGCACGCAGCTTGCACTCATCACAACTTACTTACATAGAACTAGAATTCTTACCACCTCTACATGTTTTTATGTGACTAATGGAATACCCATATCCCAGGGATCTCCTTTTCTCAGGAGTGATCTGATAATGTACATCCCTTTTCAACTGAATACTCAGTTCCCAATTATAAAACATAGCCTTGCAGACACTCTAATATCAGGGAGGTATCCTTCAGTGTAAAAGTTAGCATAGTTTTTAGGAACTTATGATGCAGAAGCCAAACCATTCATGGAGAAAATAAATTTATCTAGATTGAGGGAACTGTTTCATCATACGTAGAACATGTATTACTGCATTAGCACACACAATAATTACCCAAACTGTAATACATCACTAGGCACTTCCAAACACCTACTGCCCATGAAAGTAAGTGGACAGAACTTAATGATAATTAATGCCAAAAAGACACAGAATATAATGCAATAGACTCATTGCAAAGTCACATTCACTTATTGTAAATACCTCACTGGTATAGGTCACCTCACTGTCTGTTTATCTAGCCCATACCTCATCAGTTTTTCCATGGGGATGTTATGGAAGATAATGGCAAAACCCCTGCAAAAGTCAACATAACAGCCATCGCTCTCCCCTCATCTACCAAGTTAGTGATTTAATTATAGAGGTCTGTTAGGTTGGTCAGGCATGGTGTCCCCTCCATAAGTCAATGCTGACTACTCTCAATCACTTCTTATTCTTACTATTTTTGGAAATTACTTCCAGAAGGATTTGCTCCATCACATTCACAGGAATCAGAGGAAGGCTGATCAGTATGGAGTTCCCTGGATCCTCCTTGTCCTTCTCGAAGGCAGGATTAACATTTGCTTTGTTGCAGTCCTCAGGAACCTGCTCTGACCATCATGACCTTTCAAAGACAACAGACTGTCCTTGCAGTGATATCAGCCAGCTCCCTCAGCCCTTTTGTGTGCACCTCATCAGGTCCCATGGACTTCTGTATATTCAGTCTAAGTATTCCCTAACCTGATCATCCTCCCCACATTTCCTGCCCCATTCAGCAGGCATCAAACGTTTTTGCTATTGCTCTTACCGCTGTGGATATGCCTACAGAAACCATTCTTGTTGCCCTTCCCCTTCCTGTTAGATTCTACCCTAGATGAGGTCTGGCTTTGCTTGCTCCATCTGTGTGGAATCAGGTACTGCCTTCTACAACCCTCCTAAGCTAAGCCTGATTCCACATCTTGCTAAATGCCACTTTTCAACTTCTACTCCAACACAGAGTTTTCTGTTTTTGTTAGGATCTATAAGATTTTTGGCTTTGCCTTTTATACATATAACGTATGGTACAAGGTTATAATAAACATTCAACTTGTACCCAGAGAACTCTGACTGTGCATTCACAGAATACAAAGCATGGATCAGTCAAGTTGTTTCATTGATCTCCAAGAATGGAAGCTGAATACCTTCAAATGCCTCTTACGGAATATAACTCGGGTTCTAAGTCATCGTGTCATGGGAGAAGACAAGAAATGGGCATTAACAGAAAAATACATGAACAAACAAACAAACCAAAGGGGGGAAAAAAAAAAAAAAAAAAAAAAAAGATGTATTTCTGGGTAGTAGGAAGTTCAGCACATTAGTATCCTAGTATCCTAGTGGATGTCAGTATTTTTGTAGGCACCAAAGAAAGCAAGAGCTAGAAGGCAGTACTTAAAAGGAAATTAGAGGAGGACTTTGTGTGCTGATCTGTGGCAATATTTTTTTGTAGCAAATGGCAGTAGAAAAATACACAAAGACCTAGATCCTCAGGGGTACACAGGCACTGTATGAGGTGGCTCAGCCTGTACTTACTTGAGAATCTGGTACAGAATTACTTATTATTTAACACACAGGAGTTATGTCTAAAATGGGCAAGGGTGGGAGAAGGGGATATGCATAAACATACCACAGGGACAGTCATTTATGTTGGTTCCTTTTTGCACTCCCCTCTGGCTATAATATCACCTATTCCAGAAAATACATGCTGTATCATCCTGGTGTGAAAAGATAGCATTAAATTATACAGCAAAACTACAAGTTAACTTGAATTAAGTGTAACAAATGTTATGAAACTGGATATTTGCAGTTATGTTAGAGAAAAGAAACCTCAGGGAAGATAGATAGTAGCAACAAGAATAATGAAGAATACTGGTTTTTCTGTAAAAAGTCTTAAGGGACATGAGAATCATCACCTCTCTTTTACAGCTAGAGTGGCTGATGTACTGAGGCAAAACAATTCATCTGAGCTCACTCACGAGGTAAGTGACAGAACAGAGAATGGAAACCCCAATCTCTGAATCAGTGTCCTGTTCACAAGACCATCTGATAATGACAAATCACCTGCCAGGAGTTCTCAAAAATGAAGGTAATGGCCAGGGAATTCTTTCCAGTTATTACTGTGAAGACTGCAGGAGAAAATGTTTCCTCCCTGCTAAGTCAAGTGACAATTTATGTTTACGTCATTTAGACTTCGGAAAGATCTCCCATCATGGGTCCTTGGAGAATCATACACAGAAATACTGAAGAGCAGGATGGAATAGATAGGGATGCAACACACACTGATCAATGCTTCCTTCCAGTGACTAAATACAAAAACTTCTGGTCTGGCTCCGACACATCTTAATCAAAATATCTTTTCACTCTACCACATACACCTTTGGGCATACAATAATTTAAAATTTCAGGCTTTTTCTTTATTGAAATTCACTACCTGTTATAAAATTTTGGTCCATTTCAACCTCTCCACGTCTCCAAATCACCTCCCTGTTATCTCTCTTACATTTACTGTGCCACAGGTTCGAGAAATACCTTTCTCTCATTTACCAGTTACTACAGCTAGTCAGTTCAGGCTCCTCACAGCCACAGATGTCTGCCACTCACTGTCCCTTTTCCCTGTATGCCACAGAGTTGTCTCCTTCTCCAATAAAGTGTAAAGTCAAGCAGCAACACCAATCTGAGAGGCTGTAATCTGCTAAGAAATTGAACCGATCACAAATCTAAAGCATGAGCCAGGAAGTAAAGTGCAAAAACACCACACAGACACAATTAAAACCCACAATATTTAATCGATATTTACCAACTCGTAGCAAATCCTGCAGTATTTATGTATTGGGATCATAAGTGGAACCACCTGATAAAAGGAGTAGCAGACAATTGACTTTGACAAAGGGCAAGCTGTGATTGTTGGACTTGGGGTTCAGGGTTTTTGTTTTGGTATTTTGTAGCTGTTGGGTTTTTCTAAGTACAATTTTGAAAGTTATTTAATTTAGCTTAATGTGCCTAACTCTCCACTTATGTGATTGATCCTTCAGATTTCTACTAAACAGCAGTGACGACTCAAAACAGACATTTTTGATACCTTCCTGAATCAGCACCTGGGTTTCCAGGAATGAAAGATCAGGGTACTCTCCAAAGCACTTCCAAGAGGATTCTATACAAGCTTTCAAACCGCAGAACATCATAGTGAATCTAATCCAACTTCCTGCAACACAACCTGTAAAATTTCATCCCCTTAAACTTCCAATGCAACAGGTGGGGTTGAAGGAGACCAAGCAATCTAGGAAGCCATTTAGTTTTGGTATAGAGAACAAAGCTAAACATAAGCCATATTCATCAAAACAAAAGTTATTTTCTCCTAAAAGCCACTTGAGTGGCTGGTGCCTTGGTACTGCAATGTACCAAGTTCTTTACCAGTAGCTCAGTGTAAAATCTGTTGTATGTTTTGTTTTAAATGGGTCATTTGTGTGACCTGCTGGCTTATAGTTCACCTTCTTAGCTCATGCCAGTGCACAATCATGTGGAAGGTGTGTGGGGACAGTTCAAAGCTGTGCCAGGGGAGGCAGGGACTTGACATTAGGAACCATTTCCATGGTCAGACCCTGGAAAGGCTTCCTGGGGAGGAGGTAGATGCCCCATGCTTGCCAGTGTTTAAACAACATTTGGACAATTCCCCTAATAACCTGCTTTAGCTTTTGGTCAACCCTGAAGTAGTCAGCTCAGAAACATAAAAAAAGCAAAGTAGGAGGGATGGAAACATGGCCTCTGTGTCTACACACCAGTTTGGGCCCAAAGAAATCTAACCATACCTACAAAGAACTGTGGCCAAAGATCTAAGTTACCTACTCGACAGATACAGCCACCTTCACATGAGTCTTTAGCCTTAAACTTTGGCCCATCGAGCAGAGGAACAAAACTCTGATGTGCTAAAATAAGATCAACCTTTGATGGCAGACTTTTTCAAAAGGCAAGTGAGCAAATATAGTCAGGCAGCTTCTAAGATGGAAAATCTGAACATCTCTGTCCTGTGTTGCTCAAGTTCCCACAAGTTTTTAAGTCTCTGTCTTGTGCTTCAGTTCATAATAGAAACATGTTCGTAATGACTAGCACTAATTCTGATAGCAACAGAATGTCTTATGTTGATGCAAGTGTGGAGAGAGCACTGACTAGAGATACTGCTCAAATTAACTGCCAAAAACCCAAATACCTACAGTCCACTCTAAGGCCGCTCTTGGTTCCTTCACCGGTCCATTGGAGACTGCAATGTTGAGGGAATGCACAGGAGCCAAGTGCTGGAGGCCTGACCTGGAGATTGCTTTCCTGCAAGTTGAAAAGAACAAAAGGAAAAAAAAAAAAAAAAAACAAACCAGAAATAAATGGAGTGTATACATGGAGTGTATACATAACATATATATATATATATCTCCAATATAATTACCCAACATCCACCCCACCCTTCTCCAGAAATCAGAAGAGGTAGCACAGCATCTCATTTCAACCTCGGTGAAATGGTGCTTGAATGCCATCTCCTGCTAAAGCAGTTTAGGAAAAGAATAAAGTAATCTGATCACTGGAAATTACTGTTTAATGAAGATCAGTTACTCATCTGGCACTAAGCTGAAATATCAAGCCCAGTGGACTGATTATGGTTATGTTTGCCTGTTTCAGTGAAGTCCTCATGCATTACACCTATTCCTTACACACCAACTGAATCTGTTAAATCAATTTATGCATAATTCCAAACACCTTTTATAGGAGGAATGAAATATGAGTTTATGCAAAGAATACAACACCTGTTGCTTTTACCTAGTTTGTAGGCTGGAAAAAGTCATCCATTCAGCATCCAACTATGTAAAACAAGATATGGGGACACCAGTTTGCCAGGAAGGGGTGTCATACACTACTATCTTCTTTGATCCTATCAGCATCCCCCAAGGTATTACAGCTTCTTTCCACTTATATTTCAGTTTTATCTCACAGGTCTGAAGGCATAGATGTGGCCTCCTTCAGAAGTCATAGGTAGTGACCAGAAACCCTTCTGATGCTGGCTGCACAGCATTGAGGGCATATCCACGGCCTGTCTCCCTAGAGAGCATCCAGCCCTGACAGAGCTGCCTCCAGCAGTAAGCCATAAGGTGGAAGCACAGTACACTGCCAATACAAAGCTCAGCAGCACGTGAACACTCAGTTTCCTAAAGCTTCTTAACATTATTGCATTGTATATATTAGAACCTGATGGCAGTGGGCAAAATAATCTCACAGCTTCAGCTGCAGTCATTCAAAAGAGGACAAAAATCATCTCAGGGAGATATCTCCCTTCGTAAGCCAAATACATCCCTCACAAAATGAAATGACGGCCTGTTTGTGTTAAGTGCATTTTTGTGATATCGCTCCCACAGTGCAACAGCTATTTATAGCATCTCCTAATCTTACCACTGTTCCAAGGTAATAAAGGTCAATTGAGCCAGTGCAGACAATCCAGGTCAGCCATATGCTAAATAAATCTTTTCATTGTCCTGAAAATATACAGTGCATTATATATGCACAGTAGAGGAGCTTGGAAGCCTCCCTGCTCTCAGTGCGAGTCTGGAAAAACCAAGTGAACTGAATCAGAATCTCTTAAATCCCCCTTCCTATGGGTAGCATGAACAACTCAGAACATTAACATCAGCCTCTGATCATCCAATGCCCCCTTTCTTTTTAAAGAAGGCAAGACATTGACATTAAGGGTTTTCTTCCGAAATATTTTGCATTTGACAGAAACCCAGTAGAGAGAAAAAGACCAAGGAAAAGACCTGGCACAGTTTTGTGCCAACAGCCTGCCCTTCCTCTGCATGCCAAGCTGGATTTATGGCTTTGTCTGGAAAGCACACAAAACACAGGCGTGACAGTAACACCTTTATTTTTTTTCAGGTCTGTTTTAACATAAAAGCCTTAAAATGATCTCAGGGATTACAAAATTTGCATGAGCCAGCTAGAAGTGACCCTAAGGCCCAGGGGCAAGCTAAAAATCTCTATTTTTACACAGTTTCTTATCAGAACTTTGTCTCACAACAGAGAAAAAGAGTGTCAAAACACACTGCATGCACCCCAGAAGCCTTTCCCATTAAAAAAGGAGGTCAAGCTAAAGAGCAAGCACATGGCCTTCTGTTAAGTGTAAGACAGACAAGAGAGGGGAAAATGGGGGGAAAGGGAAGGTAGCACAAATCTGATAATGGAACAGATGCTGAGTAGCCAGGTGATCATATTACTTTAAATAACAGATGACACCACCTGTCACTTTTCCAATAGCAAGGTAACACAATTGGCTTTTAGTTATCTTTCCCAGCAATTTCATCTCCACCGTGCTGAGTGCATGAATGAAAACACAGGCTTGACAGTCAGCCCTTCCCATAGAAGCAAAAGTAATCACAGTTCCCCTGATAAGAGACAGCCATAAAAAGTGCATCTGTGGTTTCATGATATATTCCATTCCTCAGACTATGAAGTCCACAACTTTGCTAAAATGGGCGCAGCAGCCAGCTTGCTGATGTAGCAACCAACAGCTAGGAAATATTGCATCATAAATAATCAGCTCTATTTTGATTATTACTTTTCCATATCCATTAATCAGTAATTTGTAGTGGATGTTATTATCAACCCAGCTAACACATCACCATTGTGAACAACCGTGGGTAAACATTAATGTCTATGTCACTGAATATACAACAAACAAATATATCTGATACTAATTCCATTCCTGATACCACTAAGGAAATCCTTTAACAGAGCAGTTGACTGTCTTGAAAAGCAAAAGCAATCAGACATTCAAGCTATTCAACTACACTAACTGATTTTTTTAAAAGGCATTAGATTTGCATTTTGCTGAAAAGTCAGGCGAGACTCAACCTACTTATCAGATCAAAGGATACATATTTTATCAGGGGAGATTTGAGTTTATATCCCAGCCTTTGGCTTTACTGAGCCTTTTCCTACACTGCAGGAATATAAGTATACTTCAGTGAGTTGTTTAGACTCATTAGTTTTACCTGAACCCTCAAAGACCACAACAATTAGCCAATAGTATGCAACTTATATAGAGGGTAGGAAAAAATCTATTTGGAAAAGAAAGAGTAAGTTAGTGCTGAATGTAGTTATCAGCTTTGACTGACATTTTTGTTGTCACTGGTGTTGGAGTTGCTGCCTTTCCAAAGCTGGGGTTATTACCTCCCTTGCATAGAAGCATAAATTCCCATTGGGGTAGTCTTCAGCTGCAAGATTGAGAGAACATAAAAATGCAGAGACTGGCTTCCATAGATCCTGCGGCTAGGACATCTCCAGAGAGAGAGGTTTCTGGGAACCTTTTATCAAAGTTAATCTACATGTTTACAGAGAAAGGGATAGTCATCTGTATAATGAAGTTTAAGTTACAACAGCTTTGAATTTCTGTGAATATTCTGTGTAGATAAATCCTACACCTGCCAGCTCTCAGCTTTGCCAACAACAACTTGAAAGTCTCTGTACAAGGCCAGACAGCACCTGTACCCTCTATGAACAAATTACATGCACCTGAGTTTGTTTCAAGCTGGTTTTCACTCCTGCAATTTGGTGCTTATGAATGTAATGAAGAAAATGTACTGGCAAATCTCTGGCATTAAGTTTTCCCCATGCATCTCTGCCGACTGTACTGTGCCCCTGCAACTGGCTGTTCCCAGCTTGACTTCTGGGCATGCATTGTTCTCCCTTTGAGCTGACCACAGGGCAACGATTATTTCACTGCAACATCAATTCCCAGACTTTTTGCATTTGATATAAAAGGAGCCAACTTCAGTCAAATTAAATAATCTGTCTGGTGCAGCAACCCTTTTCTGACAACAGCCAATAGCAGGTGTTTAGAGAAGCACTGGCACAAATTGGGTGATCCTTCCCCTGACATACTCCATTCCCAGTTTCCAGTAATCAGTAGTTTAAGGACTTCCTGAGCTGGAGGCTGCTTCCAGACCTTTGCACTTAATAGCCTGTAATGGCTCTTTTCTCTAGGAATGTGTTTGTCCTTCCCTGAACCCATTTATAGTCTTGGTCTCCACAGCAGGCTATGTAATGAGCTATACAATTTAATTATGGGCAATGTAAAGTACTTCCTTCTGTCTGTTTTTAAAATTCTGACTGATAATTCAATTGCTGTATCATATTGTGAGTGACAGCAAGTAATCACTTGCCTCTCTACACCTTCTGTAGTTTTATGAATCTATTCATGTACCCCTTCATGTACCCCTTCATTCACCACCACCCCCCCTTCAAGTGGAAGCAGCCACCTTTTAGACTTTTGCTATTCCTGAAGTTGTTTTATCTTTGTCAAAGTCTTCTAACTCAGTTAAGTTTTTTTGAGGTAGGATTACCAGAACTAGAAAAAATATTCAACATCTGGCTTCACCAGAGGCTTATCACACTTTCTGGACTGTTCTCTTCAATTATCCAGAGGTCTCTTTCCCAGATGTTAAATGATAATATAAAGTCCAGACTTGATAGCTTTTTTTTCTCCTGCATGTGCGTTATTTCGCCTTCATCGATCTCACATTTCAACTGCAATTTGCTGCAGAGTCATTCAGCATCAAGAGATCCTTCCGAAAATTTTCTGCAACCCACCCTGACTAATTGTGCAAAGCAGTAGTAAACCTTACCCCCCTGCACTGCGCTCCCTGTGAGCGGCACTGCTCCCATCACAGATTGCCGGTGCTCCCCATCAGTAAACTCACAAGTAAACTCTGAAAATTACCCCATTGCTTCCTACACTTACACAATGTTGTTTAACCATGAGGACACCACCCATTTCATCCCTAGCTGCTGTACCAAAAGCTGTTTTTTCTTAACCTATTGAAGCTTTCTGGAAGCCCACATGCTCTCCCCTCCTCCAGACCACCTCAGTTTATCAGCCCTGTGCATCTCTCAGCAATTTCTGCAAGATTCACCAGGCCTGGCTTCCTTAGGAAAAGCTGTGCTGGCTCTCCCACAGCACATCACATTCAGCTGTGCATTTACTAATCCTGCATCTTATCAGCAGTTTTACTGGTTTCTCTGATTAAAACTTGCTCCTGGGTTACCACATCACCACTCTGTGAACCCCTGTGTGACCACCTTACTCCTGTAGGACCAGAGTTTGTTTAAGGCAGGTATTATAAAGCCCTCTCAGTAGTTTCTCATTTGAATTCCATCAGAATATTTGGCCAATAACTAATCACTGCAATTTGATTTTGCTCTTTTGTCAATGTCATCTTTAGTTTCCTACATCAACCTTCCCATCCCCCTCAGATTCATCCATACAAACAGCAACTCAGCCTAGG